CCCCCTCCTTGGCGCTTAGCATTGACAGGTGCATTTATATACTTAGTAGTTTATAGTATTTATACTTACAGATGGTATTGGGTCATCGTAATGGTATTTATCATGTAGATATCTTTCCATTAGACATGACTTTCCGCTATAATTTTTCCCCAGTAATACAACCTTCGCATCTCTGTTTGCCATGCGAATGTCGACAAATGCCAGTAATTTATATAGTAAATAGTTTCAAACGCTACAACATAAAGCAAACTCAAAATAATTTAATACTTTATTAGCTGAATAGCTGTACTGTAGGCGACTGTACTGTGCCAACTGTAGATATAAAGTCCTGATGCTCCACGCACAATGCTACCAATATAAAAAATACACGATTCCTCCACAAAGCAGCGATCATTTCATGTCAAAACGTTTCCAAGAAAAGTAGAAAAAGCAAACAATACAAAACAGGAACTATAAGACTGGTACATTTACCGTAGGGATGGACACTTATTCCTTGAATTTCGTAATCCGTCGAATTTCCGGTTTTGACAATTTGAGAAATAATACTTTCATCCATTTTTAATTTCATGAGTATTCCGTCGAAACATTATACGTCTTATGTACCAAACCGTAACAAGGCTAGTCAGAAAGTAGGAGTTCTTAGGGGGCCCTGTCGCAATATTGCGTATCTGTTAAAAGGACTACAAGTCTGTATTAAGCTCAATTAAGTTCTAGTTTAATACTAAAAGGCGGCCTTCACGCCATGCTTTTTAAGAACAACAACTTACGCATGCGCGCCCGCTAGGACTCCCCACTGCGGGCTCAAAACCAAATATCAACATCTCCCTATTTTTACAAAAAGGCATATATATATATATATATATATATATAGTTTTTCGTTTTACCTCAAAAAACCACAACAGTCTGTTTCATCCGTATAGGAATCATCAGGTGGTGAATAATTTCGAAATTGTAGGTTGCTTTTATGCTTTCGATAGCATAAAAGCAACCTACAATTTCGAAATTATTCACCACCTGATGATTCCTATACGGATGAAACAGACTGTTGTGGTTTTTTGAGGTAAAACGAAAAACTATATTACGCTCTATCTACATGGTATTGAGCACTGTTTGTG